AAGTTCGTCAAAAATACTCCGCTGCGCGTCGTATTTTCAACTCTCTTCTCGGTGTTTCATCTGGTGATGAAACACTGCGTCTCATGTTTGATATATTACGTGAAGACAACTTAAATTTCCCCCCCCCCTCCCAGTTTTGGCTAAATTCACTTATAAGAATTGATAATAAGCCTTTCTTTTATAAGTCATGATTTCATGGAGGAGTGAAAAATGTTAAGGATTTGCTTGGCGACTCAAATTATAATTTCCTAAGCTACACTGCTTTCATTACCACTATAAAGTAGTGTCTGCCCTTAAACATTTCAGGAAAAAATGTTCCAACAATCAAAACTTCACTACCTCGGAAAAAGCCACGTACAACCTGTTCTCTTTCCGAGAAAGTTTGCAAAACGTTTTATCAGATTTTGCTCAAAAGAAATACGTCCTCTCCAGTGAAAAGCCAGGGAAAGTGGCTTGCTGAAAATCTTTTTTCAAATGTACAAGTGAACTGGGAAAATAACTATCAGCTACCTTTTCTATGTACTACGAAAACGAAGGGTATTTCAATTCAAATTTCTGCGTAGAAGAGTAGCTACAAATGACTTCTTTCTTAAGATAGGCAAAAAGGAAACAGACTCCTGTTCTTTTTGCGCTGGTTCCACAGAGACACTTACGCATCTTTTTTTGGCACTGTAGATCAACTCAGACTTTTTGGAATAATGTTTCACAGTGGACCTCTGAAGAGCTTGACTTGACCAACTTGAACATTACCCCCTTTTCGCCAGCTTTGTCTCGGCTTAATCGACAACATATCCAATCTCCTCCTACACCACTTCCTCCTCATTGCTAGACATTATATATATAGTTGCAAACAACGAAACACAATTCCTATGGTACAAGTGTACACTCAGTTAGTCATACGCTCCATGGAAATTGAGAAACAGATTGCGTTTGATAATAAGTACTTAGCCTCTTTTACGAAGAAATGGGCTACTTTTAAATAATGCCCCTCAGAATATAATTTGACCAATACAGTTGATTAAAGTGCAAGTGACAAATGGGCAGATGGGTGATGGAGGACCAAAACGAAGGCAGCCTTCTCTTAATTGTTAATATACAAACTATAGTATTTTTGTGGACTTTGTCCTTCTTTTTCTTTTTATTTCTGTTTTGTAAACGATAACAGTTACCTGTAATGAATTGTAAATGTAACGTATTGTAATTGTTTGTGCGAAATAAAAAATAAAATAAAAAAAAAGTACGGACAACTACTATTAACAGCCAGCAACTACTAGTAACTAACAGTAACTACTAGTAAATACCAATAACTACGACCAACTACAAGCAACTACCGACAACTACTAATAAGTAACTACTCGTAAATACCAAGAACTATCATTAACCACTAGTAACTACTAGTAACTACCGACCACTACTAGTAACTATCAGTAACTACCGACAACTACCAGTAACTACCACCAACTATTAGTAACTACCAACAACTACTAGTAACTACTAGTAGCTACTAGTAACTACCGGTAACTAGTAGTAACTACCCATAACTACTAGTAACTACCAGTAACTACTAGTAAATACCAAGAACTACTATTAAGGTGGCTCGACTGGATTTTTTAGGGGGATACCTCCCGAGTTTGAGCCTTAACTACGTTGACGTGAGTAAAGACATGGAAAAAGGGTTACCACAACTGTATTACATAAGGATGAAAATTTCTTATGATCTGAGTTTTATTGCAATCGGAGTCGCCATGGCAACGTAATGATGCCATTACGTTTTTCATTTATCTTTGTGTTTCTCTGTACCAGGAGTTTTTTGAAGAAATCGCTTAAGGGAGTATGTACCTGCCATAATTGCCTTCATTATGGCAAAGTTTGAAGAAATTCTGAGAGCGTTTTCGAAATATTTTAAAATGCAGTTTTAAGAATCATAAAAACAGTGAAATAGCATGCTAGCCGCACAATTCGCTAATATTTTAAGGAAATGATAAGCTTTGGGAATGCGGCTTCATCTCATAGTGGATTAATTCCATTGAAAACTGCATACAAAAAAGGAGGGAAATTGCTCTGGGCGATCGCGAGTAAGAAGGATTTTATTAACTTGCATTCAGATGCTTTTGGAGGTAATTTGGTCCATGCCTAAAAATTTCGCATTTTTCCAAAAACCGCTCGATAAATTTTTTTATAAACTCGACAATCCCGAGATCAATCGTCAAGAAATATTCCCTGCAAGTTTTAAGAACATTGAAAGCAGGGAAGGCTTTTAAATAGGGCGGCAAATATAGCCAATTTTCCCCCCAGATTTTGTGTTTACATGCGAGCGTCCTCATTATTCACTGGCATTGTTTTCAACTTTCATATTCACGTGCACATTTAGCAAAAAGATAGAATTTACATCAAAAAGGACCCTCGGTTAAATCTCCGGGATATGCTAATTACTAGGTAAAGAGGTTAGTGATACATTATAACATCAGAGCAACTCTTTGTGAGAGTTTCTGTGATGTTATAACCCGAGTAAGATAATTAAGTATTGCATCCTACACGATGAGCCGTGACGTTCACCGTTTCGGCTCTCACTGCTGTCTGTGACGACAAGTCAATTATTAGCATACACCGGATATTTCTTCGGAAAGTAATTGAAAGTTCTTTTTGATGCAAATTTATATCTTTTGCTAGTTGTGCACGTGGATATGAAACTTGAAAACAATGCCAGTGAATAATGAGGACGCTCACTTGTAAACACAAAATCTGGGGTGAAAATTGGTTATGTTTGAGTCCCTATTTAAAAGCCTTCCCGGTTTTCAATGTTTTTGAAACTTGCAGGAAATATTTCTTGACGATTGATCTCGGGATTGTCGAATTTATAAAAAAATTTATCGAGCGGTTTTTGGAAAAATGCGACATTTTTAGGCATGGACCAAATTACCTCCAAAAACTGTGTCAAAAGCATCTGAATGCAAGTTAATAAAATCCTTCTTACTCGCGATCGCCCAGAGCAATTTGCCTCTTTTTTTGTATGCAGTTTTCAATGGAATCGAACCACTATGGGATGAAGCCGCGTTCCCAAAGCTTATCATTTTCTTAAAATATTAGCGAATTGAGCGGCTAGCATGCTATTTCCCTGCTTTGATGATTCTTAAAACTGCATTTCGAAATATCTCGATAACGCTCTCATAGAATTTCTTCAAACTTTGCCATAATGGAGGCAATTATGGCAGGTACATACTCCCTTAAGCGATTTCTTCAAAAAACTCCCGGTACAGAGAAACACAACGATAAATGAAACACGTAATGGCGTCATTACGTTGCCATGGCGACTCCAATTGCAATAAAACCCAGATCATAAGAAATTTTCATCTTTATATAATACAGTTGTGGTAACCTTTTTTCCGATATCTTTACTCATGCCGACGTAGTTAATGCTCAAACTTGGGAGGTATCAACCCCAAAAAATCCAGTCGAGCCACCTTAACTACTAGTAACTACCAGTAAATACTAGTAACTACTAGTAACTACCAGTAAATACTAGTAACTACTAGTAACTACCGACAATTACCAGTAACTAGCACCAACTACTAGTAACTACCAGCAACTACTAGTAACTACCCATAACTACCACCAACTACGAGTAACTACTAGTAACTACCGACAACTACTACTAACTACCAGTAACTACTCCTAACCATTGACAACTACTAGTAACTGCCAGTAACTACTAGTAACTGCTAGTAACTACCAGTAACTACTAGTAACTACCGATAACTACTAGTAACTACCAATAAGTACTAGGAACTACT